GCCACAACACACAAATAAAACATAGACTTTAATAATAAAATTGAAACTGATAGAATTTCAAACAAAAGATATGTTAGTATCTCCAGTTTTACGATTACATGATCAAATTGAACCTAGCCACAACAGATTTAAAGAGCCTAAAAATAGAATACAACACAAGTAATTCCTAAGATTTTGAGGCAACTGAAAGAGCAGAACTAAGAAAGAGTATCACAATGACAAATTGCATATATCAACAACATTTCGTTCATGTGAAATATCAAGTACTGACGATCCATTTGACACCAATATCTGCTACCATTAAAAAAAACAAAAAAAAAACAAACAAACAAACACAGATGTTAAGGAACATCTGTTCTTTGCAAAAATAGGTTTTCTATTCCATATGCTACCAGTCAAATGTAAGTCAGAAGAAAGAAAAGCTTTCACAAAAATTTAACTTTCAACAACATTAGTTCACTTACATTCTTTCAATTAGCATACAATTTATTCATTGATAGCGAATTATTACTGATGACCTTATTGCCGGAGCATCAAGTTGATCTGGTAAGAAAACTGTAAAAAGGTAAAGAAATGCTAATTCTCCGCACTAAAATTTAATCAGCCTTTCTATTTAGAAGGAAAGAGTCCTTCGAATTTTGCAAAATTACTACAATTGGGGGTAATGCACAGTTTGACCTCATGCATCAAATACAACATTTAATAAATCTATTGGTTATCATAAGTTGCAGATCAAACGTAAAGACATGTAATTGCACCAGACATTAAAAGATATACTGTAGCCCTTAATGTATACCGGCAGTATCAAAAGGCATCAAGTGAGTTCAGATGTATTAGACGTACCTGCACCTAGATCTTTCTATCAGAAGTACGCATGAAAAGGAATGAATTATTAACAAAATACCATCAAGAAAATGCTCTACAGTATGCTCATTCAGCAGCAATACATCAATAAGAAGCTACGGTCATCTCATATTTAACTCTCACATTTCATTAATGTTTGATTGATTTTGACAGTCTTTCATTTTAGAGGCAATTGGAGAAGAAAAAGAAATGTACCAATTGGAAAGACACATGCTTTGGACTTTGGTACCATATGGATAGTTTAATATTTAAATTCTGCTAAATCAAAAACATAACATTCTAATCATAGGTTTTCCAAGAAAATAAACCATATATGCTACTTAATATATTATGTACAACAAATCAAAACAAACAAAACATTCCAGAATTGCCTTCTAGTGAAATGAAATTTAAATGTTTTACTCTAAATTTTTAACAAAATTCAGTTCCTGCTGAATAAAAGAAATCTTTCAATAGAAAACAGTGATTTTAAAATAGATAAAATTTTATACTTGCCACAGACATCCCTGAATTTCTGAAAATTTCTCTATGCTGAGCAAATCTTGATGTGGGAGTCCAGGCAGATTATAACAGTCACAAACAGTTAGTTGTTTTTGAATTTACATCTCTATGGATGTACATGTCACTAAAGACATAATAAATATCACTTAGAAAACAATCATCCTTATAAAAATACTTTTAGGAAAGTCGTGTACCCTTTAAATGGTTATTGTAGGTTTAAAGATGTACTTTGGCAGCTGCAACCTCAGCAAGAGTTGCCAGACCACAGATAGCTGAAGGTTCGAGCACTGCAGTGTCTGTTGATTCAGAGAAACATCACAAATTATTTCCATCTGATGGACAAAATTTTAACACAAGATCATACAGTATTCTTATTTACCTTTCAAGCTTGCTTCCGACCCAGGAGTACGTCTGGTTATGCTTTGCTTGCGAGCCTTCCTCTTCTGACTTCCAACCAAGTTAGGTAAAGATACATGACCGCCTATAGAAAAGATGCAAATTATCAGGCTTGCCAAGTTACAGAGATAATATTTATATTAATAATATACTAAATTTCATTCGCTTATTACCGTCTGATTTATGTATGTTGTTATTATTGATGGAAGAAGGGATTGTTTGCGAATGTGCTTCACATCGACTACTGCAAGTCACAGTGACTGCTAGACTAGTAGAGCTGCTACCCGTGTTAGGCAGTCTCACAACAGAAGATCCATCTGTTGCACTAGACTTCATCTTTTTTGTACCACTTTTGCGTTTCAATGAGCTGTCAAATAATCTCATCTCCGTATTCCACAGATCACTACTCTTGGCGAGTAATGCATCATTTTTCACTTTCTTCTTAAAGGGTAACTTTTCAGATTGCAAACTTACAGCTTCTTTTCCTTCAAAATCATGCATTCTTTTGGTTGCAACACTAAGGGGATCATTATTATTTGTTTCGTTAAAGACATTATGAACAGTAGCTGTTTCTCCCTGTCTGATCAAAGAAACTTGACTAGATTTTGACATGTCATTGTTCAAAGAAGAGATCTTTCCATGGACAGATCGATGTTTTCTTGAAACCTTTGGAAGGTAATCATGAGATCTCATTCTATCATGATCAGATGCATTACTGTCGCTTGCACGTTTTTTACGTGCTTTCTTTCTCAGTTGAAATTGTTCTAAACTAAGAGCAGGGAGGGCACCAATTCGCTCCTCTAAGTTAAAGTCACTAAAAATAATAAAAAAATTATCAAAAATCATTATAAAAATGGAACATTGATGAAAACTACTGTATAATACAATATCAGCAGTTTCTCCTTACCGTGATTGAGTGCCTTGCAAAGAATCAAAAACCAATGCAGATGACCCACTCTCCTTCTTTGAGTCAAAGCTGTAACAAAAATGTTGACATGAAGTGGATTATACTTAGATAGTACTGCCAATAGATACAGTAGATGTTTTTCACACATACCCTGACTTTTTCATCAAGTTCTTCTTCTTAATAATCTTGTATGGCTTGCTTTTTATTGGTCTGGTCGCTGGAATTTCATGTGTTTCTGTAATGTCTACACCTGTAACAGTGGAAGACTGACCAGAATAGTCCTTAGAGTTGAATTTTGCATCTACTTGTGCTGTGTCTTTTGGTCCAGGATATTCGTTATTGGAGGGTTCAAGAGTAAGATTATTTTTTGGTTCTATTGGTGACCGTGGGATGGCTGTGGAAGCGAAAATACTTATTCCTTCCATATGATGTTTCTGATTATGTGGACTGTCTCCCAACAAATTGGAAAAAAATTGCGATTGTTCAGAACCAGGCAGTTGGAAGGAATTGCCAGTTATTGGATCTGGTCCATCAAGTATGGGAGATTCCGGTTTTCTAATTTTCCCATAAGGCATTACATCTTGAAACACGGATCTTCTCTTCAAATTGTGATCTTTCCTAGTCCCTTTCTTGTACATTTCAAGCTGAAGAGTTGTTGAATTCTGGTAGAAATCTCTTTGTTCTCTACTTTTTTGAGGAGACAAAAAAGGGTTCATCATATCTTCTTGCCTAGAAAAAGAAAAGAGATCAAAAGTAAGATCATTAAATAGATAATAAAGGAAAGAAAACTCGATTTAACTCAAGTAGATAAGAAAAAAAAAAATTACTTGTACATTCCTCTTCGACCTTTGCGGCCACGTGTAAGGCCTCCCTCCATCATAAACTCTCTGTATCTTAGACCTTTACAAGCACGTGATGAGCTCCTTCTTCCCTCAGAATTAGCATTTAACATATGCGATGAGGTGCCTTGTTCACCGTCTTCCTCTCCACTTTCCAAACTCTCAGTAGGGCTCACAATGGTTTTGAAAGGAAGACTTAAAAGTCCAACAGCAGCAGCAACTTCGTCGCTGTCACAGTTTTCAATGCAACTTGCATCCACTACTCCCACAATTTCCTGTATTTCAGAAATATTGCTAGAAGTAATAGAATCAGTTTGTTTTTCAGTTTTTATTAAAGGTTTATCAATGTCATTGGACTTATTGTCCTGCGATGTGCCTTCTGTGGATGAACACTCAGTATATTGTTCATTAGCCTTATTATCAGGCAGTGCGTCTGGGGTTAACTCATCAGAAGTATCCTCCTTGTCTTTACAGGAGTCAATGACTACCTGGTTAACAGACTGGTTTTGAATTGTACCAACCAGCTTTGGGACATCAGAAATCAGACTACTAGGCACCTCGTTGTTCTGCACTGAAACATTTTGTACTGCAGCTTGAATTTCAGGCAGCTTGACTTCAGCCTCACAGTCCTTATCTAGGGAATTATCCAACTTGCAAGAACCCTCCGAACTTCCATTATTACCCTCTACATTGCTTTTCGAGGGTGAAAGACTGTTATCTAAGACCTCTGTACTGACACAAGCATCCCTTTCAAGCTGTGTGGTGTTTTCAGAATCTTTTAAGTGAGTTACATCTGTAAAACGACACAGTCTGTCCACAACTCTTTCTATCAATTGCTGTTGTGATGTTTGAAATGTTGTCTCTCTACTATCATCTTCTATGCCTTCAGACTTCACATGAGACCCAGCCTTCGGCAAATCATCTGTTTTGGAAATCTCTTCCGACTTCTTACTGCTTTGGGAAAGGGTAATGTCAGATTGGCTTTCCAGCTCTAGTTTGTTAAAATTAAAATGGAGATCAGCCTGAAAAGTTTTGGTTTCCACTTCATCATCAGTGCGTGATGGGCTTTCAGCATCACCACCCTGTAAGAATTAAGCAAGTCAGTCAGTAAATAAATGATAAATCAATCAAAAACCAGGATGACCAAGGTATAAAATACTTACATCATGCATTGATGCAAGAGCTTGTTGCAAGTATCTTTTTTTAGGAGGCCGTGGCACATTTGGATTGTTGGGAGTTAGTGGTGATGGAGGTGTAGAGGGAGGCGATGGAAGGTGACCAATCTTTGATGACAATGCAAGAGCTGGAGGAGAATCTTTGACAGAGCTTGCAGGTACATTGAGGTCAACTAAGAGTGAGGGAGCATCACTCGATGAAGGTGAATCAGAAGAAATAATATTGAGAGACAATGGCTTCATAGGAAAATTTGGTAAGTTTGGAGTTGGAGGAATAGCAGGTACATTAGGTAAAGAGGTTTGTTGACCTGCAGAAGTTATTGTGGCTGTGGTGAGAGTATCAAGGGAGGTAACCACTGATGGAGCAAACTTTGAGCTACTAGATGATAATTTGCCTTCAACTGTGAGTGACTCCGGCTCAGGTAGTTCAACTGTCTCTGAATTCTCCGCTCGAGGATTATTGTCCCCATCATGTGAGGAACTAGATGGGACTGCACTTGCATGAGAATCTAATGAACCACCAGTTGTAGTACTTTCAGATACTACAATACCAGTCGATGGAGTTGAAGATATAGAGGATGAGGTTGCTGAAAGTAAGCTGCTCAGACCACCTAGTTGAGTTTCATCTAAAGAGTAAAAATTAAAAAAAAAGACATGAATGCTGAACCACAGCTAAGAAGTGTACACAAAAAAATTTTTAAATGTTACCTGCAAGTTTGCCTGGAGTGATAACTCCCGTTGATGGCTTTGGAGCCTTCACAGTATTATTAGGTCTTGTATTCAAAAGTCGTAACGGAGGTGCAGGTAACTTGTACCATTTGAAATCTGGATGAGCTTTCAAGAAGGCATCTTTGTACTGTGAAAAACATCAGGGAGATAAATAAACAACATTAAAACAAATCCAGTCATCTGAAATTTCATGTAGTGAAACAATAATTTTGAACCGAGATCAAATTTACCTGAGCAGCTAGCTCTGTATATGATGCTTTTTCATCTCGTTCCAAATTTGCCCACCATTCTCCAAGAATTTTAGTGACAGCTCTGTTTTCAAGATGTGGATAGCGTTCTCGTACTATGGGGCGATGACGTTTGCAGAATATAAGAAAAGCATTCATAGGTCGGCGGGCATGATGTGACGGGCCCTCTTCTAGGCCCTGACTTGTGGCTTGACTCTCCATAATGAAGTTAGTAAATTATATTTTAATATCATATGCCCTCACCTTCAGGCCTGCAAACAGACAGAACAGTTTCAATCACTATATTACAAGAGGTCTAATTCATGTTATTGAGTGTTTTAAGTGAGAATAATTCTAACTATTCTATTCATGAACAAACAAAAATATCAAAGAAACTCAAACAGATGAATGAATCTAGCTAGTGCTTGTCATCACTAAATGAAATAAGTGTAGAAATTGCTGTCATAACTGGCTTTACCAAATAGCAAGCTACTGATTCAAGTTTATCAAAACACAAGACCGATGCTATTTCATCTATAAAATATACTATAACAACATACTTTAGAATGATCAATCATTCAAAATAAGAGTTAAAACGCAATCAACAAGTCATCGATTAATAAATAAGACTAAAGTGATAAAAAATTTAAAAAGAAACATGCATAAAATGTTGCTAAGTTTGATGTTTACAAATGACCCATTTATGTTTGTATACAGAATTCATTCAAGCCTTCATACCTATTTGAACCAGGTTCCACTTCACAATAATAGGAGATGGAAATAAAGGCTGTTTGCCACAGCACCATAACTTTGGATACACTTTGTAAACTTGTTTAAGGCAGATCATCACAATACACAAGAAAGGTACATCAGCTGAGACTGTAAAAATACATAGTGGTAGTGGTGGTGGTGATGACACAACCAAACATTTATGACAGCAAATATAACCGAACACACCCTAATTTGATATTAAACAAAACATTGAAACTTTGAAAACGATAAACCGATTGAAAACAAGGTGTACCATTGACAAAAGACGAGAAAACGCTTCATTGTGCAGAAGTCAGCTTGATACGTGCCATTTCATGGTCACCCAATGTCACAACTGCTTTATTTCTTGTTGCCAACACAGAATTCACTGATTCGACACCCACCCACGCAGAAACAACATCAAACGCAATATTTCATGATTTTCATTCGGTAAAACAACGTGATAGTCATTCAGAACAAAACTGATATTGAATATCTCAGTTATAACCACGAGCGTAATGACGAGCGCGAGGGGGGGACTGACTCCTGACTTCCCAATGGAAGGAAGGTACTTCTGCTAGGCAAGCTGATACCAAACAGCTTGCAAACTCACCGTAGAATCAACACATTCATTTCTCGGCAATACCGATACGTAAAACGCAAACGTGCCGTTTTCAGTTAATTTTTGTAACTTGATTTTAAACATCTTTTCATTCAAAAGGTATTAGGCAATATGAAATCACCATGACCTACTTTTTTTCGGGGAAAGATGTCACTTTCTCGAGGAGTTTTTCCGAACCGCGTAGGCCTAACGCTACCAATTCGTATTTCCAAACAGCGAAGACTTGAATGACACTCGTTTTAGATAGTGCCCAAACTTCAAGAAGACTATCCAAAATTATGACTCTCCATTCATAATTTAATTGTTTGAGAATCTGTATGCAAATGGCATACGAAACAAAATGTTCACATGCTCAAGGTTATCGGCAGACACCGCAACAAAGCTTGCTTCCTTCTGGTGCATGAATCGCCTGTTTTCTCTTTCAATATTGTAAATGAAATGTTGAAATAAACCACGTTCTCTAATGACGGTACAAAAAAGGGAAGTACTATTTCTCTAATTCACTTACGCAATAAGAGAATTACTCTGTAATTCAGCCGAAAATATCATAATTGGTCCTCCTCGCAAAACATTTGCACTTGCCATCACTACAATACACTGTGACGTCATGCGGTGGTTAATTGATTGATAGAGGCAAAGGCCTTGACTTCGACAGGCCGCCAAACTTTCTCAGAAACTTAAAAAAGTCGTCTCACAATTTTCAAAATGCAACGGGCAGAAAATCCCATCGTCACAGCGACGGTGTGGAATTTCATAAAATCCTTTACAAGGGCAAAGGGCGCACCACAGATGCAACGCAATTCGACCGTGGAGGGGGTACAATCAGAGGTGAGGGGAGGAGAAGAGGGGAAAGGAAAGGGGCCGTGAACGAGACCGATATCTGACTTGCGTAGTCTGTCGTCTGCTAGACAGCTGGTGCTGTTGTCGTCTGCTGCATCTTAAGGAAAACAAACCAAAAAAACGTCGAAATTTTGATGGAAACCGCGTTAAAATGAGCCTCGAAACAAAAAATATAGGTTTGATTAAATGTAAAATGCTGATAACCTGTGGTCATCCGAGCTTTCACGTCCGATGGAATCATACAAAGTCACGTGAATAACTACTAATTATTGTTTGAGTTTAGCAGCGGCCACCAGTGGTAAGTGTTACTTTTGTGTGAGAACTCCAATTTCTCATGTTCAGTCTAACAGTATAAATTAGTCAGATTTCTAAAAGTAACACAACAAACAAAACAGGCGGAACATATGTGGAGGTTAAGGCTCGAGCCGCAGCAGTGCCACCTGCCGGAACGCACCACAAGTTTCTGCGAAGCGGCGATACTCCACGCACTGGCTTTGGCCGCTAGATGGCGCTGACCGTCGAGTCTACCAGCAGCGGACGTGACAGGCGACATGGCATGGCGTAGCGTAGTTCTGAGACGAGAGACGAGAGAAAAAGAAGCGGGGAAAAGGAGGGAGGGAAGGGGGGGGGGACTAGACCGTCGTAAAGTCTCTCGCCAACGACACTCTATTCGGCCGTGCTCGTTAATGTGTTCACGTTGATTGAGCAGATCGGCTTTCATTATTTCGGCACACTGGGCGTCCACAAAAAGAAAGTTGGCGCGCGCAGTCGTGAACCTCCTCGCGACCTTGTTTCCTCTTCTGGAATGTGTCTTGTTGTTTGAGGGCCAAAAGAAAGTAATAATGAGGGCACAGCCCAGTGGAATGAATCTCGGGGAAGTTCCGACCAGGCCAGTCTCTGCGAGAGGTCCGGCTGCTGGAGCCATAGAAAAGAGTGGCATTCCTACAAATTTCTGACGAAACCCACCTGTGTCAGGCCGTGGGGAGATGCACGTGGACGTCTGGCCGGGCGACTCGCTGGAGAATCCATATGCTTTTGTGATTCGTAACACAAGTGCACCAAAGCGTATAGATTCTAAAGGTGGAACTCCAATGGAGCAATCTAGGCTACCCATCACCCATCATCCGTCACCCATCGCTTGCTATTTCGTGTATTTACGCGTACAACTCGGGTTGTGGTTAAGACTTAGGATGTGTGTGAACAATAAATATGACTACACACCTTAGGATTGTATTTCGCGCTTTAAATACACGAAATCGCAAGTGATGGGTGACGGATGATGGGTGACGGGTAGCGTAGATTCCTCCATTGGAGTTCCACCTTAAAACGAGTCACCCAACACTTGAGCTGAACTCGTGATGGACTGCCGGTCTGCAAGCTGAAAAGTCAACCGATAGGGGAGTACAACTAGAAAAGAACCCGATCACCAGCCGTTTTTGTAAAGTTTATTTGCCTTCAATTTTACAATAGTTTTATTTCCTTAGAACCACAATGGAATAAGACGCAACATGGCGACGTAGTTTATAATGGTAAGAGTCTACATACTAAGTGTGCAATAAAATTTGGGTCACTCCGTGCTAAATTGAAATAATTAGACGTACATTCACAAATTGAAAATATGCCGGGGTCGACCGTCCATAATGAATACATTTGGTGCTTTCAATAATTTAAAAGTCTACCGAAAGCATATTAATCCAACGAATTAAATATGCAGCTTTTTAAATGTGAGACATGGTTAACTCGACATAAACGCATACATTGACATTTTTACCATCGCAACAGCATCGGTCCGTTCATCACTTGACACAAGCTCATTGTTCATAATTAACATGCAGGCATTATAAAAGTCTTAAAGAACTTCGTTACGCATCTGAATATTGAAAATTTTCACGGATTATTTAATTATCAATTACCTTACAAAACCGAAGGAGACTAATTTTCAGCGATAGGTACACATTAAAACAAGAAAAACGTAACACTTAGGATCAAAATTTACAACGACAGTAATATATTTCTTCTCTAAGGATCAATTATACAAAACAATGGAATAGATCAGCGAGTGATAAAAATGCGTGCTTATGCACGAGTAGGATGCATTTTATTTATTTCATCCTTTTATTTCAAGGTTGTCTTTTTTGTGGTTGCCCATACGTGGCCTAGTTTGAACAAGCACGTCAGGTGTCAGGTATAGTTGCAACAAGGGATCCCCATTTAGAGACGGCACAATGTGTGCGCCTGCCCGATCCGGTTTGGGCCCCACAAAAACTAAAACAACTACACTGCAAAATAAACAGTACGAGTACACACACACACACCGACCACTTTTACTTTACCCTTCCAATCTTAAGGAGGAAGTTACACCGTCTCACGAAATGAAAGGCAGTCTCATACGCGGTCTCATATTTGCGAGATTCCGCTTCTACCATGGTGACAAGTGCAGGATGTAAACTCGCAAAGCGTCCGACTCCGTCTAACACTTGGTAGGACACGGTGTGCACTTCTCGTCTCACGTTTGCGCACTTAAAGGGTGTACTTGTACTTTCTTTTTTCAGTGTTTTGTTCCTTATTTTGAAAGACAAGGTCGCTTCTACAGCGGGTAACTAGTATGTATGTTAAAATATGGTTTGTCACAGGCCGCAGCCTACGATCACTTTATAACTGAATATTTGCAGGGAAAGCGCCGACTTGAGTCTCTTGAAGAGAGGAGGAAGTGGCATTAGGCTCAGCTCAGCCGCCATTATTCTCATATGGTTTGCAGCAGGTCTTCAGGCCTGCAGCTGATGTCTAAACAAGCCAAGTGCAAGGCGTCGTGGCAATCCTTGTCGTGTAACGTCTCGTCTTGCGTTTTAACAGCATAAGATTATTGACTCTAGGCAAAGCGCACAACGCTGCCTTACAATACCTTCTCAAGAGTTACGCTCCGCGTCTGTTTGTCCGCGACCAAATTGTACTGCATCTCTTAATCTTTTTTATGAAAGGTTGAAAAATATTGGAAGTTTGTCGTCAATATGACACAAAACTGTGAAAATAACAGTTTGGAAGACCGTTTGATATCAAATATTAAAGAATAATAATTTTGCTATTTTTTATCCACAGACGTATCGTAAAGCATGTATAAGGAAATCTTTTTCGAAACAAACGACAATTTATGCTAGTTGGTCTTATGGTACCGCACCATCAGTGCGCTTTTGCAGCTACGGCGTAAGAAAGTGCTCGGTGTATAACATTGTGCAAAAAAGCACTAATAATGCACGTTCATAGATATTTACACCCCAAATGCATTTATCACATCGGCATGACGCTTAGCCTCCGAGAAACAGAAAATGTGAACGAGCTTCTTAGTTGATTTCTTTTTCTCGTTTCATTTCTGTTCCTCCGCTCATAGCGAAACAATTTCAGAGCGAAAGTGAAGTGGAACCCGGGGAAATGAGCTAGATTAAGTAGTCCCCACTACCACCCGCCATTACTGCAGACTAGCTATAGATAGCTACATATATTTTTGTCCTACTAAACACAAAGTATACCATTAAGAAACTAGATATGCTGAACTTAAGTAATCGAACTGCTCTAATGTATGAAGACGCTTAATTAAGTCACGAAAAATATTTATTTGTTTTATCTCTGAATCAAAAATGAAATGCAGCTCTGAGTTCGCATCACGCAAAATTAACACAGTTCAACATGCATCCTCTTTGCATCTTGTGTTTGCACCTTTCATGAAATTGATGTGTATACACGGGCCGCTCTGAGGCTATAATTTGCACTCCGGCTCGCTAACACATCTTTCTTTCCGTCGGGCATCTGTAAAGTTTTGTTGAGCACTATTGTCCTAGAATGCCAAGCAAATGGCGATCGAAACTTGCCTCCATTTTCCCACGCCATCCCCGAAAGAGAAGACGAAGCTCTACGTTCGTGTGGCAGTGTAACCGACTGACCGCAAGTCTAATCTTGTTTTTTTAATTCCTTGTTTCGTTTTCAAAAGTCTTGGTCGGTTCGTTTTCTGGTCCTGTCAGGGTGCGGGGTCTGAGGGACCTCAGCGGTACGTGGACCTCAACATGGCAGGACTCCCCACCGTTTGCGTTGACAAGCTCTATTATAGACGAGCGAACTTTATACAATAGAGAGCAAAAATAAGAATAAAAGAAGTTGAGTTTAAAAAATTTAGAATTTAGCTTTGTGGGCTTGCGCACTTTCCGCTTCTTGACGTACAAGCCCGCTGCATAATAAGGTTGTTATGCGTTCGACGAGATTTGGTCGTGTAAAGTGCAGTCAGGACAGATTTTGTTACACATATATCGCGCCGACAAGAAAATGATGTGTACCATACGATTTTTTCAATGATTATCGATTGACTGTTGGGAATCCCCACACGGGACTGTGGGCAGTCCGAATCGTGCTGGTCGTCGTGGTGCTTTAGAACAGCATCCTCCAGCCCCACAGCACCCCCACGGACGCCAGCAGGGCGGGGACCACGTCACGCGCAGAGGCGCTGTTGCACGCGTCCGTCTTGCAGCAGTAGTGGTAGCCGCCCCATGATGACTCTGAAATCATTTCGTCCCCGCTCTTTATTTCGCTGACAACAATTATTTCTCATAACATAAATATTGAGTTGTTGAGCAACTTATTTTGATTGAAAAAGGCATTTCAAAAACCAGCCATTAAACTACGTTACTTTGTCCAAAAGGTCGCACGTTAAAACCGTTGCGCATTTCAATCAACTGTAAGTTTTGACTTTTCCCTAGTTGTGATATTGGACGTACCTTTCTCAACGCAGTCATCAGAGCACGCTAACACTGTTATGCCCTCGCTGACATATTTCTGCAACAAAGAAAAGTGCACGGCCTTCATCAGAGACTCATCATTCAAATTTTTCGACCCACGTAATTTTTGGACCCCCGTAACATTCGTTACCATCGTAATATAATAATTCCATACAGCATATATCCGTAATATGTGAACCTCCTCCCACGCTAAAGTCACGTGGTATTGGCCACAACCCCTCCAGCGGGCGCAGGGCGCGCTCCTGGCCGCCCGGCCGGGTAGGCAACGCGCGGCGTGCAGCGCGGCCCGGCCCGGCGGGACTGCCTACCCCAGACTCCACAGGCGCTCCGAGGAGCGGGACGTCATCAGGAAGGCTGGGGACCCGGACGCTCGCCACTCTGTCGCCCGCTCTATACTTTGAATAATTTAAGCCGTCGGTACGGCACACGCGTCCAGGGGCCCCGTACTGCCCCTTGAGCCCGAGACCGTCTGCGTCATCCCCGCGGGTGTATGTCGCCCGGCGCTGAGTTCCCCCCGCGGGCGAGCCGCGCGCCAGGACGCGGGGAGCGCGGTGCAAATAGCCAAATAGTCACGCAGGTAGGCGGGCGGGCCTTTCCGCATTCGCAAAAGCCCTCCTCGAGTCGCCCGGCCAAAAGGATAATAAACTGGAGTTAAAAAATAAGCAAACAAAAAAGCTGAGGGGAAAAAAAGGAATCCCGCGCGTATCGGACAAAAGCGTAGGACCGTTAATCGTCGCGAAGCTCGAGAGGCTTGAAGACGGGAAGGGAGAGGTGGGAGTGGCGAGGGATGGGGCAAATGTACCGCCCTCCTCGCTGCCCTCTGCCGTGTTTTGGGGGCCGAGGACTCGAAAAATAAAGGAGAGGGGTGCAATCTAAAAGGGAACATCTGAAAGTGAGAGCGCTTCTTCGTGATTTACTTGCGACAGTCAGATCTGCCCTGCTCCACCCCCCGACCTTTCCCCTTCGCCTGGGACGATGCGCTGTCCATATCCGCTTCTCTCTTACCCCTCGTTCGCACTTCCCGAACCTTCCTTATCCTTTTACCTTCTTCTTTATCCCAGATACGTGGATTGTTTTTCTTTTTTTCCCCCTTTTCGCCAAACCGAGCCATGTGTCGCCTGACCCGCTTGACTATTCAGATATGATTAGCGTTGAGTGCTCGCTCGCCCGTCCGTGGCACACAAATAATTTAAAACGTCGTCCTCTGCCCGTTTCTTTTGTTGTCGTCCCATTTTCGCCGCCCCAGCCCTCCGCGCTCCTACCACCAATCCCCTTTTCGGTTCTTCGTGAAAATGAGAAACAGTAAAATGAAGTCACCTCAGGTAAAAGCAAAGCAATTTCATTCGCGATCCTCCACTCTGCCTAAAAAAGAATACATACCACGAAAGGGTATGAAAAAGTCACCAGAGCTGCGATACGTTTTCAGTATCTTTTCCAGCTCATCAATTTTTGATGAGACATCCTCAAAATCTGAGGAGTTAACCTTAAAGTAAAAGGAGTTCTTCAAAGTTTTCCCAGTTTCGTTAAAAAAAACTGGCATTATTTTACCTTGTCCTAAGTTTGAAGAATGTTGAAAAAATAGGTTTCTGATAAAACACTATCATAGAGCCCGCCCGAAACTTGCCCAGCCGACACTTGTCTCCCCGCTCCTCCATATGGTCCACACAGTAAAGCAGGAGTCAGGGGCCAGCAGGGCTCACGCGCCGGGGTCGCTGGGCCAGCAGCCGCAGCCTTACTGGACTGCTTTACGTCGAGTTGGTCGGCGGGGTGGGGGAGTGAGGCAGGGTCGGGCGGGGCGGGGCGAGATGGGGCGGGGTGCGGGGTGGCAGGATGCGGCGGGGCGTGGCGTGGGGCATAGGGGGTCCGCGTCTGGAAACGGCGACCCGCTCAGACTTTAGCATCATGTCTGAGGCGTCGCGGTTCTCGTTCCAGTCGATGTGGAGCGAGTCGGATGGGATGGGGGGGGGGGGGGCGAAGAGGAGCACTAATCTCGCGAGCTGCTTTAAGCCGCCGCAGCCGCCGCGGCACACTACGAGGAAATAAATAAAAGCGACGCGGAAGCGAGAATAACAAATAATAAAAAAAGGAAACATATTCGATTTGCTCGCGAGCGCTGCCGCGGTCTTGGTCTTCCGCCCATCCATCACTGCAAAAGTTTTCTCCGATCCATTCGAAAGAAAAGACGAAGTTGAGAGCAGAGCAGGCGGGGCCGAGACGCGCGGCAGGGCGGGGCAGCGGCAGCGGCAGCGGCCCGCACGAATTAATTTACCCAAAAGCAAAACGTGTCACTCCGACCAGCAGCAGCGGTGGCAGGAGCAGCAGGAAGGAGCAGCAGCAGCAGCAGCAGCAGGAGCAGCAGCAGCAGCAGCAGCAGCAGCAGCAGCAG